ATGGCAATGATTGGTGAACTCTTTCCAAGTGATATCAAATCGGTAGCTACAACTTTTATCATGACTATCGTCACAATTGTAATAACAATTATGTCCACTGCTTATCCTCTCGCTGCTGAGTATTTTGGAGTACAATGGTGCATCTGGACGTTTTCATTTTTCTGCTTTTTGGGTTCTTTTTTCATCTACTTCAAATTACCTGAAACAAAAGGGAAATCGTTCAACGAAATTGAAGAGATTTTGAGTCGGTGAAGAAGGAGTGTTTTTCAAGTAATGTATTTATTGAGAACAGGTATTTAACAAAAGTCTGTGATTCCATTTCATGGAAATATTTCTGCAAGTTGGAATTTTGAAATATAATAATCCATTTTTTATAATCAAGTGTACTATGTGAATAAAATATATAGAATAGAATAGAATATTCATTTAACTATGTTATATACAAAAGTACATTTATAGCAAGTCAGTTAGATTAAAAATACATAAAGATATATTAAAAATATATTAAAAATACCTAGAAGGACATACTAGCGACAAATAAAGATTGCCACGTTGAGTATATTTATGATAATTCTGATATAATAAAAAATTAAATAGTGATGATATTCATCAGAGCACTTCTGAGAAAACAGAGTCGAGCGAATGGGATCTGAAAGGAGTGTTCAAAAAGGCACTTCAAGATATTGCATATATTCTTTAAACTCAACCACTGGATAGAAGCAGTGCTGCAAAAGAAATCGTTTTATTTTTTTTTGAAAGGAAATTATATTGAGTGACTTGATATCAGATGGTAATATATTATACACATGATAGTCTGGTGAATTTCTTTGGGAGACTGTAAGCCTGTACTTGGGAGTTCTGATATAATCTGATCGGCTTGTATCATAGGAATGTACTTGAGATTGTGTTACCAAATTTTTTGTTTGTCTATGTATTTCTGTAAAAGTCTCATATATGTATAAGGAAGGTAGCGATAAAATTTTGAGGCGAACAAATAAAGGACGACAATGTTCTCTGCTATTACAATCTAAAATTATTTTCAGGGCCTTTTTTTGTTGTCGAAAGATTTGCATTGACTTTGAGGAGTTACCCCACATTATGATACCGTAACTCATATGAACATGAAAAAGTGCAAAGTAGGTACTTTTGAGTGTATCATGATTAACATATCTCTTCAATTGCCGAAGTAAAAATAGCGTACTAGAAAGTTTATATCTAAGTTGTTCAATATGACAATTCAAGCCAAGTCTGTTATCAAGAGTTATTCCCAATAATTTAACGTTATTGTCCTCCATGAGAGAATTATTTGTAGAAAATGATAATAATATTCTGGGTTTTACTATTATTAAGTTGTAGCTTATTAGCCTGAATCCAATATTTGGCTTTTTCTTGTAACGTCAGTGATAACATCGGTAGTTGCTGATAGTCATAGTGAGAGGTAATCAGGGTAGTATCATCAGCAAACAAAGTACAGTTTTCCGGTGACAGAAATTGGCGCAAATCAATAATGTAAATGATAAACAGTAACGGTCCAAGGACCGAACCCTGTGGGACACCATATATGTTAGTTTTTAACTCTGACCTCTCATTGCTGACTTCAACAACTTGATAACGATTTTTTAGGTGAAATTCAAAAAGCTTTAGACCAACTCCTCTCAGTTTATAATAACTCAGCTTCTGAAGAAGGTTAGCATGAGAGGCACAGTCGAAAGCTTTCGACAAATCACATTGGATTACTGATGCATGATGTCCTTTGTCTATCGCCTCAACTATATCTCTCACAACACTCTCATCACTGCACGAGTATTCGAGTTGTTTTTTCGAAAACCTTATTGAGAATCATGGAAGTAGTTATTCATCTCAAAATAAGCTGCCAACTTCTCTTTGATTATCTTTTCGAGAATCTTTGAAAATATACAAATTATCGAAATCGGACGATAGTTATCAGGAAGTGATTTGTCACCCTTCTTATGAATTGGTATAACTTTTGCATACTTGAATACATCCGGAAACACACCAGTGAATAAAATTAAGTTGATGAGCCCTGTTAATGGTAGTAATATTATGTCAATGGTATCTTTTAATACTCTACTGTTTAGGTTGTAAAAATCTGTGCATTTTGAATTTTTCAAAGAGTTTACAGTATCCAGTACTTCTTGAGATGTAACTGGTGAAAAAAAAAAATGACTTCGAGGGGGCCGGAAATGTTTCGAACTGAAGTAATTCAGAGTCTGATATTTGCGGTAAAGAGTTGATTATATTTTCTACTATTCCTATAAAAAAGTTATTGAAATCATCTGGGGTTATATCTAATTGGTTGAGTCTATTTTTGTTTTTCTCATAGTTAACAACTCGCCAATGGGCTTTTGATTTGTTATCTGAGGAAGCGATAAATCGATCATTTGCACTCTTTTTGGCATATGTTAATTGTTTCTTATAGTCAGATTTCAGATTTTTATAGATATTCCAATGATGATTATCTCTGCTACTATTACAATTGGATTTTATCTCAATTAGTTTTTCCCTCATTTCTTTCAGCCAGTTGTTATACCACGATACTGAAGGTTTATCATTTTCAGTAATTTTTTTAAGGGAAATATATTTTCAAAGTTTGCCGAGTAAGACTCAACCATAAAATTTGCAAAGAAATTTACGTCCCTGTTTTTAAAGTAAATAGTCCAATCTATTATTGATAAGTTCTTTCTTAGTTTCGTAATCCCTTTGTCTGTGATACATCTCTGTAGGGTAACGCCAGAAAGTCTTTCCGGTGGAAGGTCATCTGCGTGTTATTCAGGCTTAGAGTCCAGCTCCCCTACCCTTTTGGCTGATTTTTGGTCTCGAGAGGGACCAATGGGTTCTTTCCGGTGTATTCAGGTATACAAAATACTGACCTGAATGGTCTGACAGGCAAGGTTCTATGATCCCAGATTCATAACACTGGTGATCAACATTTGTTAAGATATCGTCAATGCATTTTGCCGAATGTGATGTAATTCTAGTGGGTTCTTTTGATAGAATCACCTACCAAGGTGTTAAAATAATGGTTTGGTGTTAGGTAAATCCAAGTAATATTCAAAACTGATAGTTGCTGATGTGTTTTGAATGATCTGTATGTAAATAATATTCATTGGTCCCGTTATTTACGGTACCGTTATTTACGGGTAACTCGCAACTGGGGTTCTCCTGTAAATGAGTTAATGAAGGAATATATATCATGATTTTATAAAGATTTGAAAGGTAATGAAGTTTATCTGATATATGAAAAAAAACTCAAGAGTAGAAATCCATAAATCATAATGAATTAATAATACGATCCAGATGCTTGCCGACTAATGTAAAAAGGTCTTTCTTGAGAAAGATTCAAGAGTAAATTGTTGCAACCATCAAATTTCGAGGATATAATCATTCGAATGTGAAATAATCGATTTTTCATGAGATATTTTTTTAAATAAAACATTTTGAAATGCTATTTCATTATCATAATGACATGCTGAATTCTTATTCACTCACCACACCTTTTTTTCATTTTCCATTTTATCAAACTTGAATTTTCATTATTAATAATAATTTATGAAGGTAGTTCCGGTTATTTTGGCAGCAGTATGATATTGAGCCAGAAAAGCCCATTACTTCAATAGCATTTGAGTAAGACACCAAGCATTTCTTAGATTATGAAGAGCTCTAATTCTTATTCAAAACTAATTTTTGAAACAAGGGAGCTCTCAACATAGCACTTCTTTAGTACACCATTCTTTTTTCTTTCTATTTCAGAACATATTCACTACCCCGAAATATACCTTGATTTCCTAGTGCTCCTAAAATCCAAACTATGGTTATGGATCCAAGGGGGCTGTCAATCAATGTATTACAAGAGAACATATTTCCATTTTCAATCAGACTTGACTGCATTCAAAATATATCGATTACTGAAAAGGGTCATTTTAAAAATCCGTCCCAAACTCTATATTAACACTTTTTGGTAGATAGAGATATTTAAGGATGCTTTCCATGTGCAACAGACATTTTTCCAGGATTATGGTAAATTTACTGGAGCTTCTTCTGGAAGTCATTATTTATTTTAATGATATTTGCTTGAGATACCAAGGAAAGAACAATAGAATTCTGCTTTGAGAGAGAAGGTATTCTGAAAGATACTTGGTGGAAAAAACATAAATTGAGTATTGCTTCCAAGAATAAGTGCGGAACTGATGAAGTTATATCAAAATTTCAACACAGTGACTGAGATAGTTGGAACATATTTGAAACAAACAGGAAACAAACGAAGGAGAAGACCTGGAGCAAGATGGATGAAATGAGTGAATGAAGTAAATTTCAAAATAACGCATTGGGAAAAATACAGCAGAGAAGACTTCAATGGAGAAATGCAGCTATATGAAGAAAGCTATAGATTTGCTTGGTTCATGAAGCTAATAGTTTTTCTCGCGGTGACTTCAATTTCTTCTTTGAGTTCGACCTTCAAACTATAGTATGTTGGAATGAATCTTTGTATCAGAGAGACAGGAAGAGAGAGAGAAGAGAGAGTAGGGATGCTGAAACTACTTTTTCGTCTCCGTTTTGAATGGTCTAGAAATAATCATCATGTTACTAGAACTTTTTTGATGTAGTGTACATCATTCTTAGCTTTATTCCTGCTAATATTTCAAAGTTTGTCAGAATGTTATTTTTGATTTAATTTTTGTTTCCAGTAGAGAGTAACTATTAAGAAAATATCCATTTTCTAAAAGTGGTTGAGCAAATAAGCGACATGTCTTGAACCTCTCCGAAAAACGAAAATGAGCTATACTTTTTTGTTTCAAGAAACAGAAAATAGTATAGATGCCACAATCCCTTGATAGTAATATACCTGAATAACTGGTTCACCCAGTAGTGAGTGTGACAAATATTCAGTAATCACATGAAGATTAAACTTATTTTCAAACTTTATATATGATGAAGTCATTTCAATCGTAACTAAATATTATTCTACGGATTATATTTCAACGTAGAATGATAAAATCTGCAGTAACACTCAGGAATTTCTTGTACTCCACCTCAACTTTCATCTTCAACGATACAAAGTACATCTGAATCACATCAATGAAGGATCAAGTAGAAAAAGAGAAGATAAGTCATGTTTTCGAAGAAGTTGTTTATATACCAACTACTTACGATCTCAAAGATCAAGAACTTTCATCCGACAAGAAGAATAAAAGCGATACGGCATTTCTGTACTTTTCTGCATTAACAGGTAATTCTCACTTATTTCAAACAAATGTATGTGTCTGTGTGTGGCTGAAATCAGAAAAAAATCACAATTGCATTCAGTTCGTGAATTAGGTTAAAGTGATTACTTTTTTGGAGAAAAGCATTTTGGCTTTCTACATTTTCCTTTTAGTTTGTATCTGGCAGAACATTTTGAGGTGTATTTTCATAAAGAGTTTTCATTGCAGTTATTTTCTTTATCCTTTTGAAAGTTTCCTACATTTATAGTGTAATGACGTAGTTGGAGAAAGCCAAAGAATTTTTTCCAATAAAACTAATGTCTCCTGAAATTATTCCTATTTCCAATTAATTTTTTTGTAATTGTGAATGAACCGTGCTTCAAATTCTTCACTCAGTTCATTCCATATGTTTATCAATGGGGAGCTTGAAATTGACTTTTATGCGTGTTGTAATAAATGCTCCTTTGCTTTATTCATTTTTTCATGCGAAGCTCACGATATATACTATGCAATCCCGCCGTAGTCACCCAAATGTTTTGCTTGTCCGAAAAGGCTGTATAGGGTTCGTGCCGATTGCATGAAGGCCGGTCTTTCAGAAAGCTAACTACACCGTGTACTTTTTGAGATAATTTCCTTCATTAGTTCTACTCCCAAATGAGGCTGGAGGCTGATGTTTTCGGCTAAAGGCATTTCAAATATTCTGAAAAGGTGTGGGACTTGCTCAATTGATGATCCATTGTGAACAAAAATAAGCTTCAGACCAAACGAATAACCATGTAAAAATAAAACATGAAATTAAGATAGTAAACAAAACTGATCAAAAAATTAAATCACGTTTATAATAAATGATTTTAGGTGCCACAAAAAACTAAATACAACAATTAACTCACCGACCACGATTTACTGTAATGCACTTCCACTGAGGACGCTGGACAAAATGCAATCGAATCACCCATGATCAGATCGCGACTCTCAATAATTCTAATCAACTTATTGTTTAAATCTGCGGAACCGTCTCGCCCGATGATCAAATCGCAACACCCTTATTCCAACTCCAGGAAAACTTACTTCCAAAAAATTTTTCTCACGACTGACTTCTAAAACCAGGAAGAAATCCCCAGAATTTTGGCCAGTGGCCCCGACTTATAAAGATGGTCACCAATTTTTATGTCGTTCTTGTCGAAAATAAACCAACGAAGCTTCAACAGAAAAGCCCTATTTCGCTCAACTTGCAATTTATAGATTACAAGGCTCAGAAACTGATATGCTCATGTCTACTTCATAAGTTTCCTTAACAAAGTCTGTGATATTTCTTTTTTGTTTTTTTGATATATAAATACCACAAATATAACAGAATAAATCACTACTATATTTGCACTTCCTTCGTGACAAACTCATGTTTAAAAAGACAAGATAAATATATTAGAACGGACACTCAACAATTGTAACAAAATATTAACATATAACAACTTATCCAGATTTCCGTGTTAGTACTTCAATATTATCAAATAACTGAGAAGTGGGGATCACGTGATGTTTGTACGCGCAAAGAAGTTGCGCAGAAGCCTAATTATGATTGAGAAAATAATTTTTTTTTACTAACAAGCCGATTATTATTAAAAATACAAGATACGTAAAAATCATAAAAAATAGAGCACATTCAGTACTTTCATAAATATATTCGTGATTTAGGCACTCGAAAACATAAAAATTTGCAAAAATAACCAGGGCAACACAAAAAATTTTTTTTTTGTAGAGCTGTGTAACTTATATTAATACACATTATTTGCAATCGAACCTGATGAAAAACAGAAAAAAAAAAGAAAAGAAGCAAAAGAAAAAGAAAGAAAAGCGGGAAGGAGAGGCAAAAAACAAATAAATGAGAATTTGATATTTTATACGTGAAAAATCATGTCACAAACATAATGATAAATTTGATGATTTCTACATATTCATGGTAAAAACTGTATAGATAGTATTCATTGATGTGATAGCATTGGACCGAGGGAATCTTGTTGACTCACCCCCTCACCCTGTATATTTTGATCTCCACAAGTTTGTGAAGAATTTTTGATAATCAAAGCATTTGTTTTTTAGCACTGCTGCTCATATTCTCATTGGGATGCAATTTTGTATGGACTTCACCCGTCTTGCCGAAATTGAAAGATAGTGATCCAAATGTCAACCCATTAGGAGAACCCATTGAAACAAGTCAAATATCTTTGATGGTAGGAATACCGTCAGTACTATCTTTATTCTCAACTTTTTTTTTGGCAAAATTGCCAGATATTCTAGGGAGAAGGGGAACTATGAAATACATGTCGATTGGAATGATAATTTCGAATATTGCCGTGGCTTTTGGAACACATATATACATTTACTACGTAGCACAAACCGTATTCTACATATTTGCAGGAACAGCTTCGATAGCAGTACAGGTATACATGAGCGAAATTGTAGAAGATCACAATAGAGGGAAATTTGGCTGTCTCATGGGTGTTGCTCTACCATTGGGCTGCCTATATTCTTTCGTTGTGGGTCCTGTAACTACGGTTCGAGATTTCACTTTACTGTGTACAGTACCTTCAGTCATCAGTCTGATTTTTTTCTATACTTCTGTACCCGAGTCACCAGTGTATCTAGCAATGAAAGGAAGGAAAGAAGAAACAATAAGAGCGTTAAGGAAATTGAGAAACAATAAAAGCAGCAAAGAAATTGAACAAGATTATTCAAAAATTGAGGATTTATCGAAAACCAGAACAAAGTCGGAGAAACATGGATTCGTGAACCTTTTTAATAGGCCAGTACTGAGAAAGGCGATGATGGTTGCCTTGATAGCGAATATGACACAACATTTATCTGGAGTTGCTGTAATTATGCCGTTTTTGGGTCCCATTTTCACGGAAGCTGGCACACAATTATCTGGAAACACAGTGGCAATTATTGTGGGGATTGTGAAGGTTTCTGTGTTTTATTCAACCTCTCACATTGTAGAGCGAATAGGAAGAAGGCCTTTACTTTTATTTTCTTCTTGCTCAACTGGCATTCCGCTGTTTCTCCTCGGATTATATTTTTTCTGGAAAAATAACAATTCAGATTTCATTGAAAACATACGATTATTACCAATCGTATCTATTCTTACCTATGTGGTGGTTTATTCTTTGGGACTAGGACCAATTCCAATGGCAATGATTGGTGAACTCTTTCCAAGTGATATCAAATCGGTAGCTACAACTTTCATCATGACTATCGTCTCAATTTTAATAACAATAATGACTACTGTGTATCCTATCGCTGCCGAGTATTTTGGAATACAATGGTGCATCTGGACGTTTTCATTCTGCTGCTTCTTGGGTTCTATTTTCATCTACTTCAGTTTACCTGAAACAAAAGGAAAATCATTCAGGGAAATTGAAGAGATTTTGAGTCGGTGAAGAAGGAGTGTGTTCCAGGTATTGTATTCATTGAGAACAGGCATTTAACAAAAGTCTGTGATCACATTTAATGGAAATATTTCTGCAAGTTGGATTTTTGAAATAAGATAATCCAATTTTTTAATCAAGTGAACGAATTTGATTCCATGAGGTGAATAAAATATATAGTACATTTTCGACTGTTTTTTTTTTAAAAATGACTTTTTAGAACATTTTTTCTTTTCGAATTCCAAAAACCTAATAACAGAAATTACAAATTTTCGGTGATTGTAAAAGTTGCCAAGGTGTTTTGATTGACCTGTATATGAATAATATTCATTGGTTTCATTACTAATGGTATTTACGGGTAACTCTTAACTGGAGTTCACCCGTAAATAAATAAATGAAAAAATATATATGATTATTTTATTTTAGTTTTAGTTGATAAATTGTATCTTATATATGAAGTTGAACTCATTAGCCTATAAACCATTGGTAATAGGATCCAGATGCTTGCTAACTGTGTTTAAATAAGTTCAGATGGTAAATCGTTGAAACCAACAAATTTTGAGGATGTTATTATTCAAACGTAAATTGAAATACTGTTTTCAATGAAATATTGTAAAATGCTATTTTATTATCACAATTGCATGCTGAATTCTTATTTACTTGCCACATCTCTTTTTCATTCTTGATTTCATCAAAGTTGCATTTTTGTTATAAATCATGTGTACACACTCATTTTTGAGAGTGAATAAATCAAGGTAGTTTCGGTTGTGTTGGCAGCCAGAAAATTCTAATATACCATTAGTTTAATATAGCCTGAGTGAGGTGCTCAGCATTTCTTGGATTACTTCAAAGAGCTCTAACTCTTATTCAAAGTTAATAATAATAATAATAATTCTTTATTTCCCAGAAGGACAATACAAGTATTGTATTGTATTATCAAAAATTAACAGAACATGATAATATTCAGTTAAATTGTATATAATAGAACAGTAAATTTGCAAGTATTATAGTCGTTCATCCATAGTAATGGTAAACAGTAAAAGTAAACAAAAAAAATAATATGATAGTACATACTCAGTTAATTGTGTAACACATATACAGACATATATACATTTATACACTTATACACATATATACATATATTCACCGAAATACACAAATAACAGACTAATCATAAAGGATTTACAAATACTTATTTAATTTAAAAATGTTCAATATAGTTTTTGAAATATGTTGAGGTTTGACTCTCCCTTATATAGTCTGATAATTTATATAATAATAAAGAACCTGGTGCGTTTGGAGAGTTTTTAGATAATTAGGCCCTAGAAAAGGGTATATTCAGCTGATTTTTCATTCTTGTACCATGTTTATGAATGCTAGATGTTATTGTTACTAAATATATACACACAAACTTCAAAGATAAAGAGTGATGGTAGCGTCATGATTTTACATGTTTTGAATATATCAACACAGCTTTGTCGGGAGGATAGACTAAATATTACTCGGAGTATTCTCTTTTGTGCAAAAAATACATCATAAGCTCTCGAAGACCTTCCCCAGAGGGAGATGGCATATCGAAGTCTGGAGTCTACTTGGGCATAGTAGAGCATCAGCAACTGATCTTAAATTACGTAATTGATAGGAAACGGAATTCAATTTATTGAATTCTGTTTTTGTGTAAGCGAATGAGCCCCAACATAACACCTCTTCAGTACAATATCCTTTTTCCTCCCTATCTCAGAATATATTCTCAAGCCCGATATATACCTTGACTTGCCGGTGCTCTTAAAACCTAAACTATAGATAAGGACTCAAGGGCTTTCAATCAATGCATTAGAAGACAACATATTTTCATTTCAAAACAGGAGACTTGTTATCACAACTGACTGTATCTATGCAAAACAAAATAGACATTGCCTACAAGGAATCCTGTCCGATGAGGATGGTTCAAACAGATGGCACAACCAATACATGGTGGTGCCCTGAATTGGAACACCTCAGGAAGACAGCGAATACGGCCTTTAACGAGGCAATTATGTACAAGACTCGAAGAGGACTGGGAATCAAATGATGCAATCTTGCTAATCGACCCTGGGAAGCTGGCGCCGAAGAAATATCTGGCGATGACCAAGAAAAATCTACGCTTAACAGTAGGATTTCTGACTGGCCACTGTCAACTAAGGAAACACCTCCATAATATGGGGCTAGTGGACACACCTCTATGCAGGATGTGTGAACTGGAAGATGAGTCTGTCAGGCATGTCCTATGCGAGTGCCCGGAGTTATCGTCAATAAGAGAGTGTGTGTTCGACGAGTCTTGGCCTACACCTGCCGATATAAAGGAGATGTCTCCCAGTGACCTGTCCACCTTCCTGGAAAGGACAGGATGGATGATGACCTAGGAGGACAACTCCTCGGGAGGATGTACAATGGGTCAGATGTGGCCTGAATGCAGTGGGCTCACACTCATCCTCCCTACTCTATAAATACAGATACTTTATTGAAAGCATAATGAGGTTCATATTCCTCAAAGAATGGTTACCACTCACCACAGTATTCGAGTCTTCATCAGCGTCTACAGCAGCTGATGAAATTATGTATTTTAATCTATCAGATATTTTCTGAAGACTTTCACTCTGAGTTTAATTTTTATAAATGTTTTCGTTTCGAAAAAAAAATAGTTTTGTGGTTAATGAAATGACTATGGAAATAATATGACAGATGATTACATTTTACATTATTACATTTCACAAGCATATCATTAGAAATATTCACATCATGAATCATTCTTCTCCCCAAAATTGTCGAAAACGGCATGAAACGGCAAAATATCCAATTCAAGTCGTGCTTACGAAGAGAGCAAAAGTTTGTTTCGCCAATAAAAAAAACCTAAAAGGTGTTTTATTCTATCTGAAATAACCACAAAGCCAGATATAATTTCCGTCAGCTTTCATGTTATTAAGAAAAGGCAGAATCCCCCAAATCTCTATCCCAATCCCAATTTCGTATATTTCTCCCGGTCGAACAAATGCTCTCTTGTGAGAAATGCCATTTACTGGTGAGTCCAACCCAAGCCTAACACTCCCTGGAAATATGGTCGGTAGCTGCCATTAATAATTTTGTGTGCCATAAAAAACTAACCAACACTTTATCAGACACATCCTACTAAAGAATCGCCTGAATAACGGCAGTTAGAAGAATCGAATGGAGAGGGAAAATTTTGATTAACATTATTGGAAATACTCAACCGACACGAAAAATGATCTGTTTAGTATTACTCTCCAAGCGGTTATGGACCTGTGATTTCGAGAAAAACTTAATTCTAATATAAAAATAACTTCATAGAAAAGGATTCACATCTTGATTAAACTTACCTATACAGTGCGCCCGTAGAGTTGATAACGCATTCGTTGATTATTTATTTAACGGATGTAACCTTAAGTACCAAACGTTTCATTTGCTACTGCAGCAGACATCATCAGTGGTATGTTCCTTGACTGCGATACGAAGGTTATATCTGGAAGTTTCCGCACTGACTGACTGGCGAACTACGTGTTCACTCAGAGTATGGTGGGGTTGAGGGTGTCGATGGTAGCAGGCTAATGTTGGAGATGGTGTTGAAGGCGTCAATGTAAATGATTGATCCACCTTGTTTACAGGTATACTACCAGTGGGGTGTCGATCGGAATTATATTCTTATCCATTTGTGACCTTCTTGAGTACTGGACAACATGTTCTGTTGACCTGTGTTTCTTTTTCTTCTCTGTTGGAACTGTTGGGATGCTTATGGCTTCCCTACGAAGTCGGGGCTGGTAATGCGTTGAAATAAACAGGACAGCAGTATTTTCGTATTTCATTACATGGTCTGTTTCTCCTAGGACATGTTCTGCAATTGCGGATGTCTCCGGCATCAGCTACACTGGGTTCTTGTGTTCTGATATTCGTGCTGCGTTTGGGAGTTCATATGTAAACTGAACTACAGGAACAAAGAACACTTGGTGGAATCAAATATGCCAAGTCACTCGAACACCTCCCGTGAAAGTATATATAGAAGAGAGACAAATATCCAACCTTTCTTCGATGTTTCAGGCTATCAAGGTTGCAATTGATGTTCGTGTCTCAAATCAGGCGGATGACACGTTTCTGGATAGAATCCAGCAGCTTCAGGGTATGCTTAGGAGCGGAGCTTCATACATGAGAACAATAATCCAAAGAAGGTCTGACGTGAGCTTTATAAAGCATCAAAAATTGCTGAGGTGTGTATAGTTTTCTGGTTCGGAACAGTGTTCCAGCCTTTGCAATTTCAGCGACATGATTGTGCCGAAACATACTGGTGTTCAGTTTAACCCATAACAAACTTATCGAAGCAAACATTGAAATTGTCTGTCATGACATTATTATATCCGGTTCGGAGACATGTATCTTCTTGAAGAAAACCGATGCCTTGGTTTTTGTGGCATTAAATTGAATCTGGTTAGTTCTTCCCCAATTCGAAATCACTTTCAAATCCTCATTAAGAAATGCAACCTCCTGCTTCCGGTGAATATGTGCCTCCGTAGCCGATGTCCTGGAATCGAAATGGAATGACGAGCAGAGCAATATATTGGATTCTTGGTTTTTTCCAATAAGTCGTTAATATACCATAAATATGGATCCCTGGGGAACATTAACGTGGATGGTGAGAGTATTCGAGAGAGAGAGAGAGAGATATCCATCGACGGCTACTTGCAGGGAACGTTCTTTCAGGAAGTTGGAGAGTCATACACAAAATGATCCGACAAGCCACAGCACAAGTCGCAAAATTGGTTTTCATGATTTTGGATTTGTTGTATTTGTCTCCGCCCTTAAAAGCATCAAAACATTTGCAAAATTGAGAAAAATGAATGAGATTGAACAAATAGACGAAGTTTTATGACAGTTGACTCATGACAGTCGTTATGGTGCGCGCAAAGATAGTTGAGATAGTGACATTTGTGTTTGTGCGCGCATATATATGTCATAACAGAAGCAAAGTCTCCAATATCCAACATTGTCAACCACAAGCCCACTACTGTTCTATTGTTTGACAGTTAAAATGTACTGATAACTCAATTTAATTTCTATAACAGTTATTAAATGACTGTGAATGATGTAAATCACCATGACATGGAAATGGTCTACCAACACTTGCCGTATTAGAAGCCCTATC